AGATGCCAGTGAGGTCTCAACAGCTCTGTCTGGAGCTCTGCATGGTTTGGGAGCTCTAAGCTCAACACTGTGGGATCTACCTGCACCTCCTGCTTTCCAATGACTCTGGAGCCTGCTGTATTTTACTCTTCTCCTCCCTCCACCCCTTCCTCCCTTGCTTAATTTGGCAGCAGGGAACGGAGGAGATGTGACATGCAGGGGCCATGTGGAGCCTGCAGAACTGATCCCTGGATCCGCCCCTGAGAATTTGTCTAGAATAGAGTAGGAAGAAGATGTGTTTACTCCCCTCATTGAAGTACGATAGTCAACTTGAAGTAAAATCCAACCAACTACAAGGCAAATGCCGGTTTGTGGGTGTGTTGGAAAGTTGAGGGAAAGAGTGTGGGGGAGCTTTGTGTTTAAAGAGGCCAAATCCTCATCATAGTTACACTCCTGCAAATCCAGCTTAGCTCAGGGGAGCTGATCTGGATTCATGACACTGGCAGACTTTGGCCTGAGGCCCCTTTTCAGGGAACCTCTTGCTGAAATCCACAGCGAGAACATAAACTGATATAAATGCCGTTGACAGTTTTAAATAATCGTTCTCACCAATAGCTTGGTAGCGTTCCCAGTTCTTCTTGATGCACCAATAAACCCTATTGTACTTCTTCCAGCTGTTATTCAAAGAAAGAACAAAGGATGCTGGACTGCTCTCAGCGCATTACTTTTCATTTAAGAAAAGGTAAATATGTAGAATGAAGTTTAGACAGATGAGGGCATAAACATCCCCTCCTCCCCCCACAAATTAGCATTAATCTACTGGGTGTCAGAAGTCTTTTCTGTTATGTCTAAGAGCCTGCTGGGCTGGGAGTGAAGCCCTAGAAACACCTTTGGTTATTTTGGGGGTTCTCCTCATCTCATACTATAGTCAGCAGTGTAATTTCCCCCATTGCAGGGTCTGGCCTATGTTACACACATTGGTATGGTACATCACATACATAAACATTTACGGATTCGAACAACTGCAGATCCGTGACTAATGCATCTTGGTGGACTTTGCTGTTTCCACCTGCATCAGTAATGTGCCAGCTGTGTTCAAAGCACTCCTGATCGCTGGCCACTGCTCTAGAGATCACAGGGATGGGACAGCCTCAGCCTTATGCCATGTGTTGCTTTCAGAAGTGTGCTGTGCAATATCAAATCATGGCTAAAACTCGATTAAGGTGAAGTGGACCATTGTAGCCATTGGAAGGGAAGAGTAATTCGACGTGATGTGAACAAAGGGGTGTAGGGTGGAAAGATAATTGAAAAAAAAAAATCAAACCCTACACATGAGGTAACTTGCTCTGTGTATGGTGGGTTAATAGGCACCCTAAGTGAACCATTTGCAACCCAGAAGAGGGACCCTTGTAACCTTCTGGTTTGAGGAGCTCTCCTGATGGATTGTAGGCCTTATTTCTGGCCTTTCAGACCTGTGCATTGTTACAGGATTGTCAAGCACTCCAGTGCTTAAAACCGAAGAAGCTGAGGCCAGCAGAATGCAACCTTGGGTGCTCAGATCCATATTTTGAACATAAACAAGTGGCTTAATGATGACATATTACATCCTTTAACCATACAGTAGAGGAGCCCTGCAGTTTTTACCTGTCCAATGGGTTTGAAAGGGTTCTTTTTGCACCGGTGATTTGTAACCAACCATCAATTTAAACCAAAAAACATCAATTATAGGCAGAAGTTGTGTGTTGGGTCATGGGGGATGAAGGATAATAACATTTCTACTTATTTGTAGTTAGGTAACGCACTTGCAGCATGTGCAAAATCATTTCCCAAGGGGTGAAAATTTGTGTTATCCATTGGAGCTCCAGGTCTTGCAGGGATCAAGATCCAGATAGGCAGCACAGCTTCGTGGCCATCAGCTGAGCTCTGCTGGTGTAGACTGCCATGCCTTGTTGTTGAAGGTGACCTGTAAAGGGGGGCTTGTGTCTTTGGTGCTTCATAACTAAGAAAGCCTGTTTTGTTTTGTTTTTTAAATCCCTCTACCTACAGGATATGTTTATATTTGCATTTCAGGTCCCATTTAGGCTAAAGAACTAGTGAGATGGTGACATACCAAGAGCTCAGCATATAAGAGCTGAGCCATCTTGAGGGCCAGCCTTTAATCTGACTGCTTAGAAGTCATTAATCTCTGTTTTGCGCATAATCTGTGCATTAAAATACATTATTCAAAGATAATTTGATATTTACATTATGTATCCTCTTAGCAAGAGACCTGGTAGGATCCCAATGCATTTTTTCATTAACTTAACATTGATAGAGACAGTATACTTAATGGACAGCTGATAAATAGCATGCCCACCTAACAGGGGCCAGTTGAGGGGGAATAGACATACAGTTTAGGTACCACCCCTCCATTTCTGCTTTGTCCTTCCCAGGCAGGATTCTTCCTCTTCCCTTTTTTTTCTTTCTTTCTCCTGAATCGTGAAAAAAACAGGGCTAGAAGGGACTTCAGGAGATCTAGTTCAACCCCTGTTCAAGGTAGGAACATCCCTGTCTACACTACCCCATACAAGCAATTGTCTAATGTATTCCAAAATGATACAAACAACCCTGTAGCAATACTACAAGGCAGAGTGCCTTAAACATCATGAGCTCTCTCACCCACCATAAATAAAGCAGCAGGACAACGGCACTGTTAATGTCCGGCCACTGCAAAGACCATTAAAATTCACAGTTGCCCCTGGCAGTAATTCCCCCTTGCTTGTGAAAGGTCCTTGTAGATGTTTCTCTTGTTGTCTGCTAACTTACTGAATCCACAGTAATTGCCTGGTATGAATCAGTGTCATCTAACATTGACTTCCTACAGAAATGGTTCTCTGGTGCATTCAGGCCAGTTTCCTGTTCCAGTCTGGCTGCTAAAATGTTCAGTTTACCTTGCCGGAAGTTGTGGGATTATTTATTTATTTATTTATTTTTTAAGATTGCACTGCGCCTTCCTCAGACCTGATGGTTGGAATGAGCGTATAGTTGAGCTGGTACAACTGTGAGCGCATCTACACATGCAATTAATGTGCAGCAATAAACTCCGGTGTATATCGTGCCAGAGTTTATTGCTCCTGGGCACCATGTGTATACACACGCCCAGGACTTCAGCACGTTGAGCTGAGACGAAGCAGCTCCGGCTAGACACATTTTGCAAAGTCAGCCTGCCAGCCCAGGGCTGCTCTGACCTGCTTCAGCATGCTGCGGAGGGGCTGGCTGGGGCATGAGGGAGCTCCAGTCTGGGGCTGACCAGCAGGCAGTCCCTCCACTGAAGCACCCTTGTCCCCCAGCCAGCTGGGTCAGTGTCTACACATGAGCTGCTCCACATGCAATAACTCTGCAGCAGGATAGTACTTGTATTTACAAGTACTAACCTACTGCAGAGTTTATTAGTTTCCTGTGGCCTAGTAGGGCCACAGGTTTCGATGCCAAGATGTTTACTTACTGCAGAGCTAATTGGGCAGCTCCACAGTAAATGTCTCGTGCCCACTTGTTGGCCCTGTTTGCTGGGCTGCACTAATTATAGAAGTCACCTATTTGGAGAAGTCCCAAATGTGTGCCTCTGTGTCATGGAGTGACAATTTGATGGCAGACAGTAAGAGTTGCCTTACAGATAAGAGACATCTCAGTCCTGGTGCTGGTAAACTCTGTATCAGATCAGACTCCACAACAAAGAAAAAAAACAAGATAAAAAATGGGATGTCCAGTGACAGCTTTCTTGTGTAATGCAGGTCATTTGCCCTTTGTGGTCCTGGTGTGTATTATGGACCACAGTCACCCTGCATGTAACATGATAGAAAGGAGTGGAGTTGCACCAGGGCTCAACTGGGGTGTCATATCTGTTTTGTATTTCATTGCTTTATTTTCTTCTTTAACGTGTCAAATAAAAATGATTTACCAAGCACTGGCTGTTCCTGTGCTGTGAATTTCTGTGGCGTATCCTCAACTAACTTGCATTTAATTTATAATTTGGGAAGCCACGTGAAACTGCAGGAATTGAGAGAATTTTCTCTGAACTGTAGGAGATGGCAGCAGGAGTCTCCTTATTACAATCCTATCATCCTCCCATCCCACCTGCCATGAATTCAGCTCCCACTCCTTTCATTAACGTGATTTAGCGTCCTTGGAACTAGCGGGCTTGGTTACATATAGTGGAGCTATACTGTGGAAATCCAATATAGCTTTCCATATGACAACTTTAAATACATTTCACCGTCTGTGACCAAACCAATCAAAACACCTTTGTATAAGAAGAAATGTGATTTTTTTTCTCTCCCTTTTCTTTTTGCTTCAGTTATTCATTCTTGCCTGTGACTCAAGTTCACAGAGCCTGAAATGATTTGTCCCATATCAGAGGAATATATTTTGAAAATAGCCTCAGTGTCCGAAAGGATGGCGTGGTTTGCAGTGTTGTAAGGTACCGAGTGTGGAGGGATAAATTCTTAGCATGCAAGCGAAAGGTGTCCCTCGGTACTTGGCTTAGCACAGCATAAACTAGAAAGATGAACCAGGCTATTGCGGGCCCATGGGTACAACTTCTGCTGCAGCATCCTCCTATGTTAAGGCCACCCTTCCATTCCTCTCTCTTCCCCTCTGAAACCCACAATAACACTATAATATTTGCTTATGATAGCTAGAAGAGCAGCCCATTAGTACTAAACCAGTTCCCTTTACCTTACTGGGGTTGGCCAAGGTAGGTCATTAGCAGGGCACTCGGTGTAAAGTGAACGCAGCGTCTTCTTTTGCCTCTTGTATTTAATTTACTGAGCTTTGGCATTAATTTGATTGGAAAGATGGCACAATAAGTGAGGGGGCTCAGTAACTCAATCCTGTAGTGGTTTATGATGCTGCTTGCCACTCTAGGTGGAGCTTATCAGAGTGCTTGTTGCCTACGTTGGTCACTATTGTCATGATATCTGGACTGGTCAAAAAAAAAATCCATGTAAAATTGAGAGGTGTATCTGTAAGGTGATCCTCACATCATGAATAATGGAGAGGAAATGCAGACCAGTAAGATAAGGTAGCTGGATGGGGTCTCCTTTTTCACTTGCCTGTCTCTCTTATGGTCACATGACCTTAGTAACAGTAGGTAATTTTTCATGAGGTTCCTGCAATTGCTAGCGATCATGAAGGGGAGAGACATGTAAGGGTTTTTTGTTTCCCTTCTTCTGAGCTTGCACTCATACTAAGGGCAAGGAGCAGTTTGACCATGTGCCTCTGCCCTACCTATTTTCCAAGGAGCTGTTACCTTGATTGGCCAGGTCTGATACTGTAGACCCAGATTGTTAAGTGATTCTGATCCAGGGGCCCCAAAGGCATGAAAAAAGACAGTTCTCAGTACAGACTGATGAATAAATAATATCACCGAAAAAGGAGAAAACCCAAAGGCAAGAAGAGACGGAGGAGGATGAAGAGGAAAGTGCATGGGTCAAAGAAGTGGAAGAAAGGGAGGAGGAGTTAGAGGGAGAGGGCGAATCACTTGCTAATGGTTCAGGAAGGAAAGGCCAGCCTACGCTGCATCAGAGCTTGGCTGGTGAAGCGGAAAGGTGTATAGACGCTGAAGAGTTGGAGGAACCCAATCGGAGGAGGAAAGAGAAACAAGGAGTTTGGACAATCAACATCAGAAGGAAGATCGAGGGAAGAGTGGCTGTGGTCCAGGACAGACGACAGCTGTGCACCTTGTTAAATGCATTGAAGACGAGACTGATAATGTCATGAAGGAAAAGGCCCAAAAGAACAAAGTGGAGGAGGAGGGGGAGGAGGAAGACGAGGAGGAAGAGGAGCAGGAGCAGGAGGAGAAGCAGGAGGTAGGAGAGGAAGAAGAGGGGGAGGATGAAGCCGCTGAAAAGGAAGAGATATCGGAGTCCAAAGAGGAGCTGGCTGGTGGCGAGACGAAGAAGAAAAAGCGGACAAAGAGAAATGAAAATGACAGCGAGGAAGAGCACGAGCGGGCAAAGAAGAAGAAGAAGAAGAAGAAAGCCAAGAAGGACAAGAAGGGGAAGGGAGACAGGAAGCAAGATGATGAGCCGGATTATGCGGTGCTGTACGAGCAGGAACTTCGGGACTATCACTCTGATTCTGGCAATGAAATGGAAGATGAGTATTACAAGAAGAGAGGTCAGTAGGGTCCTTTCTAATCTCTCCATGGGAGGGGGCTTCTGGTGCTGCCTGTTTGCATTCCTGCGGTCTGGGAAGTCTCCTCTTCAGGTCTTTTCCTAACCACAAGTGTTGTTTTTTCCTGCAGGAGGATGTATAACAGAAACATGTAGCAGGGGTTTTGAATGTGGAAGAGTCACCACACCGATGATGTAGTGCTCTGTGTGTGTGCATGCGTGTGCGCATGTCTTTAGCTGGTGGCCACCAAAGTAATTTGCTGTATAATTCCCAGCTCATTGCAATTATAATTGGCATGACAGTAGCACCTGGAAGCCTCAGCTAGGGATCGGATGCCTATTATGCAAGGCATCACACATACTTATGACCAAAGGTAGGGAGCTTTCTGGAGCAAGAGCAGTGTGTGCAGTGAGAAACCACAGGAAGTTTCAGCAAATGGATGAATGGGACAATTGGGCTTGATAATACTCACGCCATGTGTTTGAGATCCTCAGAACTGCCTTCATTTCATGACTTAGTGCTGGCCCGCCTCGGACCTGAGTTGGGCCATTTTGGAAACGGTTGCTGACCACTGCTTTATAGCTATATGATGCCACTGAATCCTTGGCTTTGGTAGTGTGTTTGGGTGAAAGTGCTCACCATGGCTAGTCCGGGAACTGTGGGGGAAGACCCATCCACCAAAAAATAATTTTCTGACTCTTTTTGGATGTTCATGTGTGAAAGAGAGTAAGTGGTGGGGGACCTGGGTTTGCAAACATGGAACCAACATGAAACTCCAGGCTGCATTATTGCACCAGAAAAAGGAGAAGTCATCTTTGGCATCAAGAGTAATAAGTACTAGGTTGCTTCTGGATGAATACAGACTGTTTGTACCTCCTTTGAACCAGAATCCCTTTTTTTGCTTGGTTTGTGCCGAGCTGTATCTATTCCTTGCATCACATGCATTGCTATTGCTTTTGATTTGCCTTATTGTTTTAAGTAAGCGTGTTCCTCTAATACACGATTTCATTCATTACTGCTTTTTGGTGACATTACTATTGACTGAAGCGTGCCCTGTCAAACACCTCAGTGCAGAGATTGTAAGCATTGCAGAAAAACCTCTGGTTCCTCCAAAGTACACTAGTGACCCTTAAAGGTAGTAAAAACACAATAGAGCTGGGTGTTTGCGTGCTGATTGCCTTATTTGTTAAAAGAAAAGAGAGCTGTCATAAATGTTTTATAAGCTGGGAGTTGCTGGTATCTATTGCACCTAATGTCCTTGATATCTTACTTTATTAGTAACGGGGAGGAGAAATTCCACCCTTTTGGCACGTTGCACTGGTGAGTGAAGAGCAAGGTGAATCTAATTCCAAGGGACAGAAAAACAAAAGACATAAAGTGGTGGGGCGATGTGGTACATGGGGAAATCCCAGCTACGTGTAACTGAATTGCAGCTACCATTGCTTCTGTCAGCGTTAATGTTAACTGAGTTATTCACTACATTTTGCAAAGTTATTTGTACAGTGTACCTTTAGGGTTAATAGGTGCAAAATCAATAGGTTTTAAAGTGAATTTGGGTCAATTCTGCAGCTACATACATATACACATAGGTATCTATCTATCTATCTTCTGTATGTGTATATATAATTCATAAGAGAGCTGAAATTTGAGAGTGCTTCCAAATCCCCTTAAGTGAGCTGATGCAGAAGGATAGTTGCTTTGAAGTTACTGGGCCAAACTTTGCTCTGTTAACGCACACACGTTTTCTCTGACTTCTGTACAGTCTCGTCCAGGCCTAGAGCTATGCCTGTGCTTCCAGGACCTTGCATTGCAACCCAGACAGCCAATGTGAGTCTATGGACTTAATTCCACGCAAAATACGGGGTATCCTCAAAAGAAATTGGAGGCCATTTAGGAGGTGATGAGAAGGCAGACTCTGAAGCTCAGCTTGGAAGTTTGTGTGTATAAAACCCAGTCCTCCAAGGGAGCCCTCCCTGCCTCCCCTCCCCTTTCCCTGTATAGCCTCCTGGCCTTGCCAGCTATAGTCTGCTAAGGAGAGGGCAGACAGTGGCCTCACTCTTCATTTTTCTTGCTCAGTTTTGGGTTAAGTTGGCCGCTTGCTGTTGCCTCCATGTTCCCACAGCCTTCCAACCCCAGACTAGGCCACCTGCTGAGTGTCCGCTCCTCCTCCCTCAACTTATCTCTGTCTCACACCAAAGCCAAATGGTAGGTAGTACCAGGGCTATTTGCCTCCCTGCCTTTCCTCAGACATATACATTGAGAACTGCCAGTGAAATGTTCCCTAAACAGGATGTACCAATACATCTCATCTCAACAGATAAGGACCTGCTTATAGCTCCCTTTTTTACCCTAATGATTACAAACTCTTCTGCATACACCTACTATGCTGTCAGTGGCATTAAGTAGTATCCCTTTGGCCAGTTGTGAGCTCTCTAGAGCAGTTGTCTCCAAACTTTTTTGATCGCGCACCCCTATCAGTAAAAAAATTTTGAGCATGCACCCCCAATATATGTATATTTATATTCGCGCACCCCATCAGTAAAAAAATTTTTGAGCATGCACACCCCAATATAAGTATATTTATATAAATATACATCTAAATAGAAGTTCTAATATTTACTTCCCACACCCCAATGGATCGTCTTGCGCGCATCCCACTTCGGAGACCACTGCTCTAAAGGACCTAACTGTGTTCTGTGCGTCAGAACCATATTGCTAGACCTTATGTGCATCTAAGGATGTGTATATATAGGGCCATTAATGCCAGTCACTCAGACACTGCGGTGGTGGCTGGGCCACAAGAACCGAGATGGAAGACAGAATAGCAAGGGCCATGCAGAAGTCTGTGTAGGAAAGTGTCCTCTTGTGCCAATCAGCCAAGTGGGTAAGCGATGGAAGGTCCCAAGCTCCACTTTTCTTTGAGGCTGGAGTATACTCTTCCAGTGGCAACCTCTGAGCTGTTTCTCTTTCTCTCTCTTTTCTGTGCCTGCCTATTATCCAAACACATTGGAGAGTGAGCTTCTAATGTCTCTAGATATTTTCCCTGACTCACCAAGTCATTGTATGGCCGTGGGCCAAACCTTTAACTGCTCACAGCCACAGTTCCCTGGTCCGGTTAAGTGGATTTCTAAACATAAATACTTACATGGCAGGGGAAACACCATGTGTCTGGGTCCATGAAGGCAGTTTTCCTTAAGTGTTCCCGGGGATAACTGTTCTTCTGGTGTGGTTTAGTACCTGCCAAGGTGGTGGAGCTTAAAGCCCATTTTATGGAAATGGGAAGCTTCTCCTTAGCTTGCTTCTGCGGCCATATGGCTGAGGGCAGGCAAAACTTGGGGGCATCTGGCCCCCAAGCCTCTGGGCTTGGGCCTGCACATAGGATGCCTGCCAAAAGACTTTGGAAATATCTGAAGCCCCTGGTGACGGTGGAGGTTGTTTGCCGGTTGTAGGGCCACTTATGGTTCTGAACTCGTGGATTTGGACTTGATTTGGCTTGGAACATGAAAAGTGTCTTTAACCCCCCCCCACCACACACACACAAAAAACATAAATGCTTTTGCTAAGATCCTATTCCATCTATTAGGCATCTACATATGATCAGGGAGGGTATGTCCTACCCTCCCTGAGTCCCTAAAATCTTTTAATGTATCGACTTAGCCTTATAGTGAAGTCACAAAAAGCAGTGAGGAGAGGAGGACCCACCCATCTTTTGCAGTAGCAGTTTTTCAGGGACTTGTATAGGGTGGAATTGGATCATACTTAGAGCCTCGTTTTACTTAGGGACTGGTGGAAAAGCATCTAGCCTTCAATGTTTAATGTCATTCATTGAAGCATTAATGAGCATCTGTAAACCATGTGGAAATTTTGGTGGGAAGCTGCTCTAGAAATTAATGTGGTTGGCAAAATGGCCACTTGCGAAGTCTTAGTTATAAAAAAAACCAAGTCCATTAAACTGCAGTCTCTTTGAAGTCGGGCAGTCTGTGGAGCTAGCCCCCTACAGGGCATCATTTCCTGGTCGATGTGGCTTCTTCAACTGGACGGCCTGAAGTGAAATCCCCGAGAAATCTTCCCTCCCCATATTGGTAAAGGGATCTCAAGCATTTTTCCTTGGTGAAGACCAGAGTTTAATGCTCTACCAGCACCTCTCCTCCCATTTATAATCCCATAATATCCCTTGAGCATCTACAGCAATTGCTTGTATGGATAAAAACATGAGGCAGGAGTTTGAATGCACATTTAGCTGTCTTTTTTTTCATGTGATTTAGCAGCTGGGGTTGAAGAGAAATGCAAGCAATGTGTGACCAACTACATCTTGTCCCATGTGTATGTTTGGAGATAAATATCACATACCTGTACGATGCACAGGTATTCTGGTCTAAAATTACCTCCTTCCCTCTTTTTCACTGAAGCTTAGACGAGTATTCCCTACCACTCCTACTAAACATGACAAGTTTGAGGTCTTGTATCTCATGGTTTATTGGGACTAATAATCAGTGCCTCCTACTAGAAGAAGGAGCCAGACTTTCAGGACAAGTGGAACAGCACATATTTCTAGTGCCAGAAAGTCCTGAGGTGCAAATAAATGACATTTACTTATATACAAGGAAAGCTATTTTGGTAGGGCTGCAGCTACACACACATGCCTATCTAGGAATCTTCAGTTGGGTGCCAGGACTGATGGTCTATGTTAGGGCACAACAGATTTCTCTCGGATCCAGATCTGCAAAGATATTTAGGTGCCTAACTCTTGGGGGTTATGCCGTCAAGCACCAGTCTATCGCAGCGTGATGGCAGAAGCAGTCTCTTTGGGGAACGAAGTTGTGGTAGGTTGAGGCTCTACATAGCAGGGAAGGAAAATTCCCTCAACCACAGGAGTTATTGGATAAATTCAACTGACTGTGTTATGTGTAGGTGGTGAGACCAGAAGTCCATAGCTGCCTTATCAGAGTCTACTGATGTGTAGCATAGGGAGTCAATCTTCACAGAGACGAGTGCAATTGCCT